ATACCGAACCTTCCCCCGCAACCCCTGACCCAGCTGCCTATGGCTCTACTGGGGAAAGGAAGTCAGCAGGTGGACTGGGATGGGGAAGGGAGGAGAGCACAGCCTGGGGAATCAGGTTTAGGTCAGAAACAAGGTTGCAACTCACAACCCTGTACATAAAAACTGCAAAACACTATATTTCCTTAAGGAAATGTTGGTTAAAATTATTTTAATCACATTTTAACTTTGGAAACAAACCCCATGTTGCCTTACAGAAAGGTTTTACTAATTTATTCTCATACTATGAGTGATAAGACTCTGCATCTCCCACAGCAGGGCACATGGCCCACACCCTCACCAACACAGGCTATTATTCACCTTTCTGTAATTAATCTATGTGAAAAAGATCTCATTGTTTTAATGGGTATTTCTTACTGAGTTTCACTTAAAAACTTGTATGAGCCATTTATATTTCATGTTTATATAATGATTTTTACAGTTGTGTCCAACATGATGTTTTGGTTCAACTTGGGGGGATTTTCTGACACTAAACATTTTTTTATAAGTACTGCATGCCTATGGTAAATCTTTAAAAAAAGCTGAACAAAAGGATATACCGTGAAAAATAAGTTTCCCTCCCTCTGAGTCTGAGTGCCATAGTTCTCCACATACCATTCTTACTCGTGTCCTGGTATCCTTTTAGAGATACTATTTACATGGACAAACATCATGATATTTTCATAAATAAAATGCAAGTGTGAGTGAGATTCGGGCTGAGCTTGGATACTGGATGCTTTTCCTTCCTTCCTTCCTCACTCTGGGTACAAACGATGACTGAGACACACTCTCTGCCATTGAGATGTGTCATCAAAAGGCAGTTTGATAAGTATTTCAAAAGAGGTGTTTGTTGTACAATGGAACTTCTAGAATGGAATATGAGTGAATGCATATTTGATAAGTGTCTGTCATGTGCTAAACATTTCGTTATAATCCTTCCTGAATGTTCTCACTTACTTTCCCCAATGATCCTGAAAGACAGTTCCGCTGTCCTTATTTTACAGATGATAAAACACCCACTCAAGGCCGTTGTAGCATGCAGAATGAAGCTCCTCTCTCCAGTGGCATTCCTGAGTGCCCACCGTGAAGGATAAAAGCCAAGAAACAAACGAACTAGTTCATCATGAAAAGCCATGCCTTCCCTTGGATTACAACTTTCCTGACTTACAGAGGAAAGCCTTGAGTTTCTAAAAGTAGCCTTTCCAGGCAGATGCCTGAAAACATTTTTCCCAGGGTCCCAGAAACCAATCATGAACATGCCACTTCATGGCAACCCCTGTATCTTGTTGATCAGCATCTGTTCTGAGAGACCACCCTGGGAGCACTCCCAGAAGAGCTGAAAGGCTCCATGAGACTGTCATGAGGTACAGTGGATTATTCTGACTCATGGTTCAGAAGGGTTTAGTAATATCTGCATGGATCAAAACCACTACAGCCAGGAACCAAATATTTTGCTTCCAAAGAAATTCTTTTTTGGTGTAAAATGATGTAAGTGTATAAGATAGAACACCGAGGATACTGTTTCCTGCAATTAGAACCAAGACGGAGGTAGCAGAGGACAACCACGTGGCCACACAGACCAATCTCAGAGGGTCACACCAGTATGTTGGGAGGGTCTGGTTCTCCACTAATATTGTCAGTGTACCCTGAGACTGGGCTTACTATTCAAACTCACAAGAGACTGATGCTTAAACCAAATGCTTGTTTACTTGTTTATAGTTGGAGTGACTGGAATACTTATATTCTGTTTTACTTAATAAAAGAATATACTCATTTTCCCTCCCAGCAAGAAAGTGAAAGCATTTGTTTCACTAAACTCCCTCTATCATTTGGTACTAACAATAAAAAAAAAATACTTAGTAACTGACAGGTTCAAAATGGATTTCATTTAAGTAGGTTTCTTCTTTGAGCGCATCATTCACAGCAGGACACAGAAGGCTCTGACTCACTCTCTGGAACTCTTTTTACCCAAGGCTGGCTCTGTGCTTCCTTCCTCCAGGTACAGCTTTTCTGTGTGCTGCAAGGCAGAAAGAGGCAAGACCACCACTTCCTTCCTGGCCATCTCATCTCTGTAACTCCTAGGCCAGTGAGTCTCAGACAAACCCCTGGCCTCAGAAGTCTCAATCTGATGGGCTCTTTTAAGGGCTGGGTGCAGTGGCTCATGGCTGTAATCCTAGCACTTTGGCAGGCTGAGGCAGGAGGATCGCTTGACCTCAGAAGTTCAAGACCTACCTGATCAAGACTGAGACCTCCGTCTTAAAAAAAAAAAAAAAAAGATAATTTACAGAGAGAAAGCAGATGCTTGCCTATAGAAATAATTTTAATACAAACAAGTTATTTATTACTACTATTGGTATCATGTTAAAGGCAGAAATGGAGACACTTGCAAAAGGTTGTGGTGGCAGGATTTTTAAGTTCTGATGATTAAAATACATCACTTGAACATATAATGAATATACAGTCGAACATTTCTGATTTTTAAAAAAATTGAGTTAGACATAATAATTCAGTCTTATGTTTTCAACTGGTCTATCTTAGACTTTGTATCTCATCTCCTTTTAGCAAGATCAAGCTTTCATGCTGCTTTTTTCTTGGTCTACTTGTTTGGTTTTGATAGTTAGCTCTTAGAAGGTCTAGCGATTTTGTTTCCTCTCTCTGGTAATCCACTGAGTGTTAATAACACAAGCTCCATTTCTAGTCATTGGAAACTATATTTATTTCTTTGTAATAATGAGAAGAAAGTTCAAAGAAAAGAGCCATGAGATCCTCTATTCTTGGTGAAAGAGCCACAAATCCAGACCTGGGGAATCCGAGCCTAAAATGAGACATCCCTTAAATAAGAATAGCATTAAATATAAGCACAAAGCAATAAGGGAAAGATGATTACATGAGCAGCACCAGGACCCTATCACGAACATTCCTTTGGTTTAGGTTTACAAATACCAGGCTGGTTGGCTCTTCTTTAACGTATATGCTCTGGATTGGTCGAGCCTGTAGGGAAGTTTCTTACCGTTCTTCCATCTGTCCTTGAAGTACCTTTCTCCTTGGTCCTGGGATCCCCAGGTACCTTGTTTATGACCCATTCCCACAAGGCCTAGCTCTGACCTAGCTGTCAAGAGATGTCACTTGTGGCAGATACTGCTAGCTTCTTATCTGACTTCACTTCCACTTCTCTTTTCCCTTTTCCAACAGAACCCTGATTTTGTGCAGGTAGATGATCATGAGAGGCTGGGTTCTTCCCCTGGTGCCAGGGGGTGAAGCAAAATGGGCCACAGCCAGTTATGTTAACCATTTTTGCTTTGTCTCCTGGGCAGTGGTACCATTATAGCTCACTGCAACCTCAAACTCCTGGGCTTGAGCAATCCTCCTGCCTCAGCCTCCAAAGTAGCTGGGAATACAGGCGCACCCCACCGCGCCCAGCTGATTTTTCTATTTTTTGTAGAGACAGGGTCTTGCTCCTGGTCAGCCTGGTCTTGAACTTCTAGCCTCATATGATCCTCCTGCCTTGGCCTCCCAAAGTGCTAGCATTACAGGTGTGAACCACCATGTCTGGTCACGCTATGATAATCTTTTATTTTTGCTAATGATTGGTTTAGGATGGCTATATGACAAAATACATGTCTGGACGTATTACTTGGAATCTATTGTCGCCTTCACCAACATGCTAAGGATGGCAGAGTCGAAATATAGAAGTGTTGGGACCTTGATATTGTCAGAGAGCCACTGAATTAACCAGCCTGTAAATGCTCTTTGAACATCATTTTGGTGGGTTTTCTGTGATTAGCAGCTGAAACTATCCTATCTGATAGTCCACTAAATCCCACTATCTAAGTTGTCAACTCTCATAAATTGCTTTAATAACCATGCAATCATTCACTGAATAATCTTTTAGGCACAAGCACGTGCCTGGCACTAGACTAAGGAAATATGTTCAGACTTATTCAGGCTTTTCTGTCAAGAGACCTATCATCCTCATCTTTTCCTTTCCCCAAACATCTTTGTAAATTGACAATTTCTTTCACCTATCTTATAATCTTTGCAATTACCCTCTGAGTTAGGCAGGAGAGGCATTCTGAACTCTACGCAGCTGAGGAAAGCAAAGTTGTAAATCAGTCAAGATTACCAACCACTCAGTGGCAGAGCTGGGGAAGGAGCTCAATTTTTTAATTCCAAATCTCTATACCCCAGCACCTAGTATCAGTAACATGGGGAACGTCTGGCACTAGGGCAGGTCGAATGTGAGGTATTAGGAGGTGAACAACACCCCGTGAGGCAAACCAATGTCTCTACTCCCGCTTGAAGACCGGGTCCGAGCCAGATGACTCGGCTGGTCTGCAGCCGCGGCGTACGACGCACAATGCCTCCAGAATCCTTCGGGTCGGAGACTAGCAACCCGGCCTATACCGATCTGAACTTTATGAACGCATAAGAAGGCATCCCTTTACATTCCACTGCCCCATAATTCGCCCGAGACACAGCGGGCTGCTCTGGCCAAGGCTAGGCCAGGGACCCTGGGGTCTCATTTACCTCACCCCGGCCAGGCCCAAATTTTAGGCCTCCAGGGCACTGCCAGCCGAGCCCACATTTCGTTACCGATTCCTTTCGAGTTCTGGAGTCTCCCTGTCTTCTTGCTTTCCTTCTTCTCGGACACATTGCCTTCCTCAGGGGTCACCCTAAGGCTCCACTTCAGCAGGTCAACAGGCCCGGAGCTCACCAGGGAGACCCCGTTAGCGGAAGCGGAAATGCTTGGAGAAAAGAAGAAAAACTACATCTCGTCTCTGCCCAGTGCGCGATGGGTCCTCGGTTGAAGTGTCCGATTGGTCAACACAAAAGAAGGACTGCCCCCTCGGGAGCACGCTGACCAATCAAAGGGCAGATGGCCAATGCGGCAAGGGGCGGGTCGCTTCCGGCGGCTTTCCCCGCAGCTCTGCGTGGGGGAGCATGGGAGCGTGGGAGTTTTGCGGTGGCCTCGGCCTTCGCTGTTGCGTTACCGTCGGGCGTTGCTTTTTGCCGCGTCTGCCCGGGCAACACGAGGCTGTCATTAGTCCCGGACTGGTAAGTGGGCCCCCTTCGAGGCTGGGCTGGGGAGAGGAGCAGTCGGCTCAGGTTCTTAAAGGATTTGGGCAGAATCGAGGGAGGCTGGGGGTGCGTGGATTAGCTTTGCAGAAGAACTGGCCCCATTAGGGACTGTTCTCTTCCCTCGCAGCTTTGTCCCGAAGTCCCTGTGGCGACTTGAAGAACGCACCCCCACCCCCACTTCCCCAGATGGCGTCCGCGCTGCCGACAACCGAGGCCCAGGTGAGATGAGGTACCTTTTTTCCGTCCAAGATTGTTGCTGCTTTCCGGCCTCTGCCTGACCACCTCCTTTGAAGGAGGCTTAGGCATGCCGATCGTGATGGGAATGTGTCTGATACGCCACCAGCCCTTTCAGCAAGCTGTCTTCGTTCCTAGACCAGGGACATAGAAGGGGTTTACCAGCTTCTTCCTTTCAGAACCACCAACTGGGAGCAGAGCCCTTTGGAGAAGTCTATAGGAAAGTTTTCTCAAAGTGTCTTTCTGGAATGCTTCTCAAAATTGTAGCTTTCTAGGCTTTACTCCATACCTGTTGAATAATAATAATAAAGCCCTGGTGATTTTTCATCATATCATTAGGGAAGGAAGAGTAGGCCTCACAGTGTAGCAGTGAGTGTCATGGGGAAGAAAAAGAGGGAATAGCAAAGGGAAGGATGTTGGGAGAACCCTGGAACCTTTGTCTCTTTTATGATTCTTCCTGGGCTGCCCAGTCTTCTTTTTCTTAGAGCATCCTTCCTTAATGGTTTCCGTCCCCAAGAGTTGTTGTTCCCTCATCTTTTCTCTTCCAGGAGAGACTACATCATTCTCACAATGTACTGTCTTGATCCTTACTTCACGGCCTCAAAATTTATGTCCATGTTTACTCTTTCCTTCCCAACCCACACCTTACCCCTTAGAAGCCATTAATACCCCATCCCAGTACTCAGGAACCTTTTACACCAAGCCCTTTTCTCCCTTGCATCTGATGTTTCTAGCTCTGCTCAGTCTTCCTAGGCTAAAAAAGGGGCTGACCGTCCGTCCAGTCTCTTGCACTGAGTTGGGCTCTCGTGTTGTTTCAGGGACCAATGCTGTTTGAGGATCTGGCTGTGTATTTTTCTCAAGAGGAGTGTGTGAGTCTGCACCCTGTCCAGAGGTCCCTCAGCAGAGATGCCACACAGGAGTGTTTTGAGGATGTGGCCTTGATGGGTAAGGCAATTGTTTTTCCTGAATTTCAGAACTTTCATCAGTTCTAGGATGAGGATTTCATGCCTTGTACACATGTTGATATGGTGGAGTGGGACCTGTCCCTGGGTAATTTATGTGGATATGATAATTGAATGAAAGAGCAAGTTTTAAAGTATGATTTCTTAAAATCTAGTACAGGGACTGTGCTTTTGCATGAGAAGTGGCAATATCTGGTAGTCTTGCCAAACATTTGATGAAGCCAATTTACAGTTTTACATGGGAAATCCCATCACTATAGGTTACTATCATTTGGGAAAGATTGGAAATTGATTTACTCAAGGAGGTGCTGTGCCTTTCTCACCTAAGAGGAACTATATGCGGGTTGCTTCCTATGCCTGAGTAGGTTTTATCTCTGACATAGGAATATAGGTTGAGTATGTAAGCTACCCCATAACTCATATTTTATATCTTGCACTTCTCTTTGTCATATTCATGTTTTTTTCTACCTCGTTGAACATACGGAATATATTTATAATAGCTGTTTAAACATTTTTTTCGTACTGGTTTTATCATCTGTGTCACTTGTGGATATGTTTCTATTGATTGATTTTTCTCCTAGTTATGGGTCATATTTTCCTGCTTCTTTACTTCCTGGTAATTTTTGATTGAATGTTGGACATTGCAAATTTTCTGTTGTTTGTTATGTATTTTGTTGTATTTCGGAAACTATTTTTGGACTTTGTTGTGGGACGTAGTTAAGTTACTTGGGGTCAGTTTGATCCTTTCAGGGTGTGTTGTTTTGCTTTGTAAGGTTGGGTTCAGATCAGCCTTTATTCTCGGGCTGATCTGACCTACTGCAAAGGCAGTATTTTTCTGAGGACACTGCTTGATGTCTTATGTGTTAGAGGGTCTTTCCACTTTGGCTGGTGGGAACATGAACTATTGTGTGAACTCTGATTATTGCTCTGTATATTCCTTTTTGGTGGCTCTTTCTGTGGTTGGGTAGTTTCCTCATGCACTTGCAGATTAGTACTGAGCCCAAGTCTTAATGGGACCCCATGTAGATGCTCTGAGCTTTCTTTCCGGAAGAATATTTGGAAAAATATTAAAAGGAATGCTTTTTGGTAGGCCCAAGTTTTGTCAGCCGTCCGTGTAGTAAGACGGGCTATTATTTGCCTGCAGTACACACGGAAGCTCTACCTTGATCTTTCCTCAGTGAGGGGTAGAGAAATTTTGGAGACCTCTCTTGGTGGTAATAAAACTATTTCTGGTAACCTGTGTGTTTCTCTGTTAAGTTAGAAAAATACTCACTTGCCCTTTCTTTCTTAATAAATATGAATCAAATCTCTTTTCCAATTATAATTGCTCAGCTGTCACTTGAGATAGCTTAAATGATGAAAAATTATTGAGACCTAAGTAGACTAACTGGAAAACTTCACCTCTAGACAATGTCTACCAAGATTGTCCTTAGTACCTATCCCACTGGACTCTGACTTAGTTATAGCTATTCTCTGCTCCTCCCCCTTGCAGGTTCACCTAGAACCGGATCATTTGGGAGGTGGGAGAGTCTGCCGTCTCCTGATTTTGCATATTTATCAGTGTCTGGATTGCAGGATAACCCACTTACAGTTTTCTTGTGTACTTTAACTACCTGAGCTTGTTTTTTCCCCCAGTACCACTTGAAGGTGTTGTCTATGTTTTGCTTTGTTTTGTTTTTATCAACAGGAGTGGAAGGTGAGACTGAGATGAATCAGCAGTTAAGCCTAGAGTCTATGGAACTTGAAGAGCTTTCCCTAGAAGAGTACCCCATTCCTACATCCCCTGTCCAGTACCCAGAAAGCCCCTCTGAGGATGGAGTTGAAAACCCTGAAGAGAAAATATCAAGTGGAACACCCCCTTGCAAGAAAAAGTTCATAAGCCTTTTAGTTACCATTGACAACCATACCCCATTAGTAGAACTGTCTGAATGTTTAGGGGCCAGAGCACTTTCTGAAATTCTTGAATTTCCCTGGGAAGAAGCCGAAAATGTGTACAAGTGTCCTGACTGTGACCAAAACTTCAGCGATAAGTCATACCTTGTTTTGCATCAGAAAATTCATTCACGAGAGAAAATAAATAAAACAAATCAGTGTGGTGACTGTGGGAAGATCTTCACTCATAGAGCCTACCTGAGGGCGCACATCAGAATCCACACTGGCGAGAGGCCTTACAAGTGTCTCAGGTGCTGCGCCAAGTTTCGCCGGAGCTCATGTCTGTCCCGGCACATGAAAAGCCACAGGAGGGAGAAACCCTATGTGTGTGACGAATGTGCTGCACGGCATAGGAAAAGCCAGGCTGCCGGAAAAGCCAGTGAATGTGCCAACAGCGATAAACGTGTGGATCAGGAAACGGATCTTGCTCTGGACGAGGAAACACAGATAGTGACCCCCGAGTACCCGCACATTCACTGCATGAAGACCTTTGAGCAGTCCTCACGTCCTGCTGTCCCCGAGAAGGCCCACAAGGAGGATTCTGAACGCCGCAGTGACGATGATGAAAATTTTTTTTCATTCGCAAAATTCAAACCCTTACAATGTCCTGACTGTGACATGACCTTTCCTTGTTTCTCTGAACTTGTTTCTCATCAGGGCACTCACGCGGGGGAAAAGCCCCATAAATGCAAAACATGTGCAGAAAGTTTTACTTCGGAGTCAGAACTTGCATGCCACCAGAAGAGCCACAGGGCAGAGGAGCCTTTTAAATGTCCCGTGTGTGGGAAAGGTTTCAGGGTGAAGACGGATCTCGTTACTCATAAGCGAACCCATGTGAAACACACAAAGTAAATACAAGTGTGAATGATTGGGCTTTTCAGTATCTATACAGTGGGAAATAGTCACTGTTTATGTGCCAGACACTGTGCTAAGCACTTTATACACATTCCAGGTATACAAGGGCTGTCCGGAAAGTATCCAGCCATGTAATATGAAAAATTACAAAAATTATGGTTGGATACTTTCCAGACAGTCCTTGTATTTAATTTTCACCACAACCTTGATTTGGGCAGTATTATTTCTATTTTATAACTGAGGAAGCATAATCACTGTGACACTGATTATGTGAATGAAGCCAGCATTTGAACTCAGTTATTGTTCAAATTTCATTTGTATGAGCCAGAAAAAGATACAAAACTTTTGTTTAAATTCAGTTTTCATTAAAATGAAGGCTATTGCTAGAGTTATTTTAATTTTATGTTGTTTCTAAGTTTTAGAAGGAGGAGAATTTATTTTTTTGTCAGTTCTGCAGCTATATCTTGGAAAGTAAATGCTTTTATATCTGTTTTATACTTTTTTGGCTATAACTATTTGTAATATTTTTTATGTGTGAATTTTTAGAGGAGTTTAGAAGCTTTTTCTCTCCCTGTAAAAAGTTCCCAAAACTAGTTGGTATCTTGATGGCTGTTAGTATTCATGGAGTTGCCATTCTCAGGTCTGATGTCAGGGGCAGTACTGGCATTTCTGACCCAGTTGTTTGCAAGTTTTGGTGACCTGATTACAGCCCTTCTCTGGAGGCTGCACTTAACTTGGGGAGGAGGGGGAGTACTTGCTCCTCTCTAAGATGATTTGCCTCCATACCTCTACTGAAGCACATTACCTGTCTTGTTATGAGTAATTGTTTCTTATAACTATTTCTTAGCATGCTAGACATTTTAGGCATATTATCTAAGTTAATCTTCAGATTAAATCTGTGACAGAAAAAAGACTGTCCTTGTTTTATAAATAAACTGAAGCCCTTACAGGGTAGTCAGTACTTGGCCCAGCATACAAAAAATACCACATTATCGTGAAGCTGGCATTTAAACTTGGGTCTCTCTAACTCCCAAGGCCATGCATCCAGCACACTGCATCATTTGTTGGCATTCACATCATGTATCAGCACCACAGGCAGCTGGGGAGGCTGAGATCGGTAGGTGAGGATGGTCATCATCACGAAGGCTGCCCTGTGTACTTGCATCCCGGAACCGCTTCACTCTCCTTGAACTTCACCCAAAGCCTGCCTTACATGTACAGTTATAAAGCAACAGAAAACTCCTCAGGACTTCAAGTTTGAACTCCCATCCCTGTCATCAGATAAGAGATTTCAAACTTTGCAGAGTATAGTCCTGAAGGTTTTAGTTGGGTTTTGGTTTTTAAAAAACACCCATTAACATTTCCTCTTCATCTCCAAAGAAAAATACATGTAGAAAATTGTTAGATTTCATCAACATGGTAATATGTATGTCTTTAGATATTGCTATTATACTTAAATATTGGAGCAAAATATTGTTAAATAGTATGGTTATTAAAGAACCAGCGAATGTTGTAAATACACATTCATATAGAATTTCTCTTTAAAGTGAAATTGATTGCATACCTATCAACAAAACAATATTTATACGTGCTTTTGAGTGGGATGTAAGAATGGTCTTATTCTATTTAAATAGACAGTATAAAAGTACAGTATTTGCTAAAATGGAATTATTGCTGGAAAATCTCATGAGCAAAAATAAAGGCTTGTTAAGGACTAATTAGATGGAAGGTAGTACCTGGGAGGTGTTCTTCCTACAGAACAGCAGATTGAGACCTTACTATACAAAAACATGCTGGCTATTGCAGCTAAGCTCTTAACGCTGATCAGGGCAGAAAGACACTGTTCAGGTGAGAGAAAAGCTGAAACCAACAGCCCCAACCCAGCTTAGTTACTTCCCCCCCCTTTTTGTCATTCTTGCTTGCAGATCCACAGTTGAGACCATGTGTATGTCAAGGTCAGACTTGGCTCTTTGTTTCTGATGTCTCCACTCTTAGGATACAGGACACCAGTCTGCCAGGGATTTAAGGTCTTAAATTTAAAAATGAGGCCTTACGATCTTCAGGTCTGTGTGTCTGAGGTACTTTGAATTGTGTAGAAAGATAGTCTCTGGTTAGATTTCTTATTAGCCACCTCTGGGATTTAATGATCTTTTTTAAGTATCAACAAGAACACAACCTCCCTGCTCTCTTGCTTCTGCCCTCAGTGGGAGAAACTGGCAGGATGCCTCACCAGCACTTATGAGGGGCTCTTACATTTCAGTCAAAGACTGAAGAGTTGCAGGGTGGGGCATATAATTGGGAAAGAAGCCCCTACTAGCAGAGTTGCTGCAGAAGCAGAGAGGACTATCTTAGGCACTTGGACAGAATGGGGCTAATAGAAAAGACAGACACTCATCCTTTTTTTTTTTTCTCCTAAGAAAGTATAGGGGAAAGTAAGAATTTGTGTCATACATCCTGTTCTGCACCTCAGTATGGCAATTTGCTTTTCCAGTTGAGGCTTCATTCACAACCCCTCATTTTTTGCAATTTTACTTATTCTCCAGATTATAGAAGATTATGACAAACCTCCATAGAAGATTAGAAAAATAATAATTCTACAGAAATACTAAAATACACATGAGTGTACTTAAAGTGACTTTTTGGTATAATATTGTTAATGATTGGTATGCAAAAAAATAACTTAAAAAAAAACCCTTACTTGAGTGTCAGTTATTGTGAAATAGGTGTATTTTCAGTTGTTGCCTTATTGTGCACTTGTACCTAAAAACATTTGCTGGATGTAAGTCAAGCTGCTCTGCCCCCAGGGAATTGAGGGCGATGGTGTGTCTGCTGGTGAGATTTAGGCTGTTTTTATGAAGATGGCTTTTTTGTTCTATTTAGTGTCAAGTGATGGAGATTCCATAAAATTGTTGTTGACTAAGAGATATTATTAGCCTTCCATTTTAGGTGCTATCAACAAATACTGGATAAAAGTTAATACAGGAATGAAAAACTAAATGCAAGAATTTATTGCTGTGTATGGTTAACTACATTTTGCAGCATAGGTGTTGACACACTGTGCAGAGTGAAAACTTTGTGCTGAAGAAACTGACTCAAACAAATTTCTTTTTTGTTGTTAATGCAATAATGAAAATGTGTGTCCCCACAGTTCCTTAACATGATTGCTGGAATATCAGGTTCTGCTAAATAGTCATCACTGATGCAAACAGCATCTTCTCAATGGAATTCAGATGTTAGCAGTTTACATTTTGTAATTTAAGAAATTACGGAATTTATTTCTGGAATGAATTGGACTCAAAATAGTTGTGCTTAGAGCTTTGATAACATAGGTAATAGTCTATTCACATCTCATTTAACATAGAAAATGACTAACCCAATAGTTCAAGGAGTTAAAACTCAAAACAAATGACATTTCACAGAAGATGCCATTTTGAGTCTTTGCCTCCTGAGATTCCATATATAATTAAGTGGCAGTGTTCTGGTGACTGCACCATAAGATGCCATACAATTTGAAACTGCAGATTTTGCTCAAAGTAATCTGCAAAGTAATATTGCATATGTGTACAAGGAGAGACATAGGTTATAATTTATATGAATAAAGAGTCTATTTTGAATGTTCATTAAACTTGTCCCTGTGGGATTTTAGCAGCGAAGTGTTTTTGCTTTGACCATGTGTTTAAAAAGTAACAAAATGATCTTCATTAGAAATGTATATATGTTCATCTGTTTTCATTTTGTAGATTAGGAGAGCTATTGATCTAATATAAAAACCACCATTACCTATCTTTCTAAGGCCCATCTGACTACAGGTGTTTTGTCTTGTTTTTAAATTGACATTCCTTCTTGCAATAACAGTCTGTGGAGGAGGGGGATACAATATAAATAATCATCTATATAAACCTAAGAATGTGCTGTAATCTCTAGTTCCTTTGGATACCTCAGAAGTATATTCGTTGTATGCACTTCTACTATTTGTGTAATGTTTTAATTTTACTGTTTTTGGTGCATTTTCATCAGTCTTAGCTCTAGATTGCAAGCTCTCAACAGGCAGTGATTATGTTTATCTGATGTGCAATTTGTCATCTAATAAATGCTATTTTATGATGATAGCAAGGAAGTGAACTTTTTTTCTTTTTTACACTTCAGTGGTTTTGGATGGCAATGAAGTGAATTTTGAAGACTGGCGGGATTGTGGTTTGGAGAGGGTGAATGAATGACTTCTTGCCATTAATTAAGGAAGTAAAATCGCTTGCTCTCTGAACTCAGCAGAAAATTCCGGCGTTATTCCGGGAAGACAGCGCCAGCCGTCAATCGCCTTTCCAGGCTCCGTTGCGCAGCAGGAGTACAGGGCCAGGTACCTCTGGTCTCCACATGGCAGCGACTGCCCGGCGTGGGTTGCCACTTAAAGCTGGGCGTCAGGGACGGGGGTGAGCAGGACTCCCAGGAGGCTTCGCGTAGCTCCAGGAGATCCCAGGTCTCCAGCTTGGCAGCCAACTGCACAGGCCAGCGGAAGTGGCAGTGAGGAGACTTACTGCAGCGGGCGGCTGTCCAGGAACCGGAAGCCGCGAGGCCACTTCCGGCAGCGCCTGCGCACTCCTGGGGAAGTCGGGGTGTCGCGAGCGGTGGGGATCCGGCCGCTGGGTTTGGCCAGGCCTTTGTCCTACGGCCGCTGCACCCCGCTAGGCGGTCTCCGTGTAAGCCCGGCAGTGGGGGCGAGAACATTTGCCGAGGGACTCCTCAGGTCTTTCCCTCCGTATCAGCAAGAAGGTAACGGGTGGACTGTCGAGGACCAACCCGAATCTCCATCCCGTGATTCTAGGCAATGACCGCGCTGGGACAGAAGGAACCTTACGTCACCTTCTCGTCTCTGACCCCGCTTCATCATTGTGAAGCTACAGGCCCATCGTGAGTTTGTGTCTCTGGCTTGTTGAAATGGATACTTTGTACTTCTCACTTGTGCTGGGTAGACTATTATCTTCTCTCTAGAACAAGCCCCA